ATCATGAAGTACCTGCCCATCTTGCTGGTTACTTGCTATCCCATTGTTCTATTTTGTTTTTCATAACGTTTATCCTGACTTGAAATTGCATTCTTATTTTAATTTCTGTGCTTATTTTTGTCCCTCTGCCTATGCTAACATGGAGGCTTTTCGAGAACAGTGTCCTGTAACAGATTTCTTCACTACTGAGTCTACAGTGTCCGGAAGACTAGCTTGCTCATAGAAAGATTTCAATACATATTTGGACAATGAATTAATGAAGTTCCCAGTTAGAATTCGTGTCCATCTTAGTAAGAATCATAGTATTTGCTGTAGTTAGGCCTAGTATTTATGTGCATTCAGGCACATGTTAGAATCAGGCAGAGCAGAGGACCTCCTTTTATCAAATTAGTTAATCGGTAACTAGTATATACTTTCATACTGAAAGAGGAGCAAAGATTTCAGAGCTTAACAAACCAAGAATTATGATGATAAAAATAATGATTATGATAATAGTGTATAACTGAAACCAGAAAATTGAAGTATTTCAAAATAAAACAGATATTTCCATTTTTTTCCCCATCCCACTGCCCTCCCTTAAACCCCTCCACCCAAAAATGGATTATGTAAAGGTGCAAACTTCCAGTGGTGAATGTCATTACATTGTACACCTTAAATGTACCAAGAAATTAATTAATTAAAATAAATAAATTACACCACCATAAAAAACAGGTATTTCCAGGTAACATTGATTCATAATCTGTTCTGGACTTCCAGTACATGCTTTTCTTATTGAATGATACTTCCTCAGTAAACCAAATGACTATGCACCAGAATGATGGAAAGCATAATAAATGATAGGAGAAAGTCAGAAAAAGCTTGATTAAAATTGTCTGCCCCAAGTATGGAACCAGGATGCGGTGATAAACACTTCCTGTAGTGCAGATTGGGAAAGAATATCCTCTAAGGAAATTCTAATCGAGGGCAGCCATTTTAATTATGAAAGATATACTTTTTTCTCTGTCGGAAGAGGAAAAGTTATAAGCCTCCTATGCTAAAGCCTCTGTGGATAAGAAGCTCAGAGGGGTTTTGTGGTTGTCCCATTGTTTCAGTAAATCAAATCAATTCTCTATGCTCATGGAAGATTTCCTCCTAGAAGAAATGTGATGCAAATGTGAGAGGCCATGTTTTTCACAACTGTCACATAAAGTTACATCTTTTGTGTACATATCAGGCTTATAAAACCGAAGCTACACATGGATACAGGACTGAATTCATTCAATATGACTGTTTTCGATAATATTAGATAAAATAGATGCATGCACTGTATTAAAACACTGTACCCAAAATTATCATTTCAAATGTCTGACACCACTCAAAAAGATAACATTCTCATAATTTGCATTTTTGGAAGACCTTTCTTAAGTTCATAAATGATTGAACATCGAATCTTTCTGATAAGGTTTTGTAACACTACAGGCTGCCTGTGTTTACATTTATGCCGTATTTTTATTAGTTCTGGAGTGGTTTGATTGTCCTCAAAATAATAGATTTTGAAGTGTTTCTTGTTTACTACATTAGTTTGGACAGAAATTAATGATGAGGGGCTGTACTATTCAGTAAAAGCTTGGAAACAGAAGAGTTCACTTTTTGCACATGGCATGTAAAATGGCCACACCGAAGCGGCGGGATTCCTGACTTCCCTCATATCATCTGTCCTGAGAGAAGTGCCCAGCCATGTTCAAGGAATGGTACATTTTCCCAAGTAGAAAGTGAGGAGCAAAGTAAACTACACTGGAGTTTGGATGTTAGGTCTTTATTAGCACAGGACTGGAAAACACTTAACTTATAAGAGTTTTAGTTTCCTCATTTATAAGTCGATAATGATAATGCCCTGGCTCTATCAGAGTTGTTGTTTCAACGGGAATAATGATTATGAAAATGTCTCATAAACTACAATCACTATACTGTATAAAGGCATCTGTGTACGGTGGGAAGACCTGACTGTGTTTACGGGAAAAGAGTAAGTAGTCAAGACAACCCAAGAGAGCAAAGAATACAATGAAACTGCCAGGAAGCTCTGTTTGTGTGCTTAATTATATGGTCTCACTTCCTGGTGTCTTTTTGAGCTGCTATTATAAAACTATCTTAGACTTGGCAATTTAGAGATAATAGAAATTTATTTTCCACAGTTCTGAAGGCCAAGAAGTCCCAGATCAAGTCATTAGTAGACGTGAGTGCTTAGATATCAGGCTTAGGAGATTGTGATTCCAAGATGAAGCCATTGTGCTGAGACTTCACATGGAGAAAGTCACCAACCCTGTGTCATTACAGGGTGGGAGGGCAAAAGGGACAAACTTGCTTCCTTGGAGCCCATTTATAAGGCAGCAACTATCCAACCCATGGGTATAGAACTTCCACGGCTTAATCATCTCCTAAATCCTCTGTCTCTTAATTCTATTGTATTGAAGGTTACATTTCAATATGAATTTTGATAGGACACAAAAAATTGAAACTGTAGTGTGTGTACGCATGCTCACACACACACACAGTGGAGATGTATATGTGTCTTCCTCTCCAATCTTCGAAAGGGATTGAAGTAAGGCCTTTCAGTAACAATGGCTACACTGATTTCAGGACTAGGACAGGGAAAACAAAATGTGAATCTGGTACTTCTTGTGTGAGGGTGTAAGGAAGTGCTAAGAGAAATACGGATCTTGTCAAAAGGAAACAGAGGCAGACTCAACGGACTTCCATTGGTCAAATCTAGGGAAATCAAGGAATGAAATTGCTATATCACAGGAGATATAGATACAAATTTTGGCAGATGCTGCCAAACAGTTTTCTGAAATAACTCAATTTATATTCACTCTAGCAGTGCATGAAAATTAGTTCCACATTCTTGTCAACACTTGCTATTGTCTGTGTCTCATTTTTGCGACTTCAGTGGGTGTATTTTTTTTCTATAGTTGTGTAACAATTACTACATACTTAGAGGCTTAATACGAAGCAAATTCATTATATTCTGTGCTTAAGAATATATTTTAGTTAGTGCCAGTGCTCAAATTCTTTCAAAACTGCAATAGAGGTATTGGCCAGGCTGTTTTCTCATCTGGAGACCTAAGTGGTCTAGAAGATGCTTTTAAGACTCTTGTAAGGACATTGAGGTTGTTGACAGAATTAATCTCCATCCTGCTGAATGACCTCAGGCCGTGATTTTTTCTGCTGTTGGCCGATGGCTGCACTCAGGTCCTAGAAACTGCCCACATTTCCTATGTTCTGCCTTCCATTTTTTGCCACACGGGCTTCTCTAAAATATATAGTTCATCAAGCTCACAAGAGTCTCCATCCTAGCAGCAAATACGCAGTCTTATATAATGTAATATAAAGTAGGAATGACATCCCATCATTGGTGCCACAATCTATCAGCGAGAAGCAGATTACAAATCCTGCCTGCAAGCAAGAAGAAGAGGAACACAGAGGCTTAAGAAGCACTCGGAAGTAGCAATCACTAGGGATCATGTCGGATTTTATCCACCACGGTGAATTTATTGTATAGTACACTATAAGTTCAATTTAGACTATTTCTCTTCAGAATTAATAGAATAAAAATAACATTTTCTTAAGAAATACATTGTTAAATATCCAAATTATTTTTCTCTATAAATTAAATTTTCTCCATTTTGTCTGACCATTGCATTTATAGACTCAAAATACAGATTTTTAGCTTTCGTGTCCTAAAGAAAGCCTAACTTATATATAGGCTTGATTTTTTTTTTTTTTGTAAACTCCAGTATCCATGCTATTTCAGTTGGACACAAAGGGGCAGAGCCTGAGTCTGAGGTTTCCCATAGATTTGGGATACATTGCTGAAACAAGAAATTCTTTTTCAGCTTCCTGGAAGTGTGACTTAGCTCTTTCTTACTTCCTCTAAGCAGCATAAAACATCACTGAACTATTAAGCAGTGGCAATTTCACCCTAGGGGTGACAGCATTTCAGGAGTGAATGCTGTGATCTTTGAGGTTTGCTTATCACTTCTCTTTACTTTGTAGAGTGCTTGGAACTACCCCCAGGAGGAAAGTATTGTGCAACTATTAAACATCATTATGGCTAATATGTCTGCTGAATCACATGTTAAAATGGAATCTTCCACATTGAACACAAAGAAAAAAATAATTGTTTCAATATTAAGAATTTTAAAAGTCACCCAACTAGATAAGAACTACATTTCTAAATGTTTGATTCACTGTAGAGAACTGCCAATTATTAAATAATATAACTGACTGCAATAATACACATAAGAGTGAAAGTTTTTGAACCAAATTATACTGAGATTTAAGAAAATTATTATTTGCATGAGATTAAAGACTCAATACTTTCTTAAATCCAAGAAGCACAAAAGCTCCTTTTAAAGAATTTATTTTTAGAATCTAATGATATTTTAATCTTTTGATAACGTTATTAACAGAAATGTATGAAAGGAAATTGACATCATGTGAAATAAATTTCCAAATATAGTGATATATCCATAGGAGAGTGATTACATCTAACACAAAAAATGTCACAGGGATAATTCCACCTGGAGCTGTCTTTGAGTCATCTTTATAATGACACTACAGAGAAATTCATTCAGATTTGACTTCCCTTGCAAGGAAGTGGAAAATGTATGCCAAAATATTCAGAACTCTGAAAGAAACACCTGAAAATTATTTACAATGGATAAAATTCAACCGTCGTGAGCAGCAAATTTGAATTTCCGCTGAATAAGAAAAATGATTAGTCCCCTAATTGGATTTTATAAGGAAAAGTCACCAGTAACTATATTCATGGAAAAAACAAAACAAAACAAAAAAAACAAAAAACCTCAAGGAGCAATGAGTGATTATCACATTCTGTTTTATTTATTAAAACTCAAGGAGACAATCTATTTTAGATTACATGTTTTTAACATTTTACTTTCTTTTGAATTAGAAAAAAGTCCTTGGAAATAATTTTTTAAGATGTATTTATTCTGTTCTGCTGGATAGGCCCAAAGCTAAAATTTTCCTTTGAAATAACAACCTTCAGCAAGACTATAGTGATACAGCTAAAACTTTTGAAGTAAGTGTACAAAATAATATCTCTGGTGAATAAAGTGAATACCAAATAACCAACTATAAATCCCTCATTTTTGGCTCTCAAGTTTTATTCAAGAACTCATGAAAAATAGTCCAGATAAATGATTTTTTTTGGTACCGGGAATTGAGCTGGAGCCCTTGTACTTGCCAGGCAGGCAGCAGAACCACTGAGCTAAATCCCCCAGGTCCAGAGATGAATGACTTTTAACCCTCATTTTTCTCCTCTTCTTCATACTGGTTAACTGAAAGTGATATAATTTGTTACTCTCTTTGACTCTTTGCTCTTGCAACTATGTGTAATTAATCATGTAGATTATTCTTCTTGTGATATTTTTGGGTGACATATTTCACAATGGGACCTCAGAAGCTACAGTGATCTTGCTTTTGCTCCTTTGGATGGTCAGAACCTCTTCACCAAGATTCCAAGCTTTTCTCATTACTTTGATTCTCTCTTGGAGAAATAGCTCAAAAATTGGCTGCATCCATGATTCCGTCTTCTACAGGGTAGTGCAGTCAAAGGTGATCCTGAGAGCCTGCATTTTTTTCTCTCTTTTCGTAACAGGTTTTTGCACGGGTACCATGGCAGCAAAAGAGGGTGAAAGGACTACAGATCCCTGTTTTAAAAGAATGATGACTTACATTAACTCTGGCATTGTACCCGGAAGAACTTTGATATCATCATATGGTAGCAGGAAAGAAGGACCAGGAATTTGAGTTATCTCAAAGTCACACGAATGTCGTAAACAACCCAACATGGCACAGTTATATATATTTTCATCTATTTGATGTACACAGAATATTCTCCTATCGTTTCAAGGATTTTGCAAGATGACAGCATTATTAGTATTATAAATATTATTGTCTCCATTTGTTAGATAAAGAAACTAAAGCTGAGAAAGCCACAGGGTCATAGGACCAGTAAATTTTAGAGCTAAAAGCCAAACCCTGCTAATTGCAGTTCTACTGTCAAGCAATTCTCTTTTTTATTGATGTATGCCAGATAACATTCCCATCAAAATAATCCTTTCCACCAACCCACCCTGTAGCTTCTCATCCTATTACCAGAAGCCCCTGTGTTTGGTTTAAATAGATGTGTATAAATCCAAACAGTGTCAACAGAGAGTACTCAGGGTAAGCACATGCCCATGAGGTTTTTTATTTTGGCAGAATACATCTGGACAGGTGCCAATCTGGTTCTGAGAGTATCCTGGTTGATGGTCCATTCCAGTTTCTCTAACCTATTTAATCATGGTAGATACCAGGTCTGTCAACAGTCGTGAGAAGAATGTTAACACCACATCCAACCTCTCCCAATACCTCTCCTTTCCTTTGCTTTAGCAGTGTGCCAAATCCAGCCAAGGGACAAAGGAATGTGTTAAAAGATCTTTCAATATTTCCAAGTGTTTTTAGTCTTGTTGTAGCAGTTTGTGATGTACCATGATATAGTTTTCTTTGAATTATATTTCTTTGTATTATTTACCAAGATTCTTGGACCTGTGTATTAATGTGTATTACCAGCTTCAGAAATGATTACAACAGTTATTTCTCCAACTATTGCTCCTGACCGAGTCCCCTTCTGTCCTTCTCGTAGGACTATAATTATACACATTAGGTTTTCTGACGTACTCTCACTTATCTCTTATCACAGACTCTATTGTCCTTTCGCTTTATCTTTGATATTTTATATTTTCTTGTCTTCGTGAATTCACTAATTTTGTTTCTTACTATATATTATATAGGCTTCAAGACAAAACAAACCAAAAATAGAACAAAACTTTCTATGTTTTACTGAGGTATAATTCACATATCATGAAATTTACCCATTTGAAGTGAGATTGGCTAAGGAGAAGATGTGGCTAAGAGGACCCATGACCAAGCCATGTTCAAAGCATGGCTGGTAAAGTCTTGCCCAGTAACACATGCTTGCTCTCATGTGCAGGGTGCATGTATTTCTTGTGTTTTCCACCACTTTTGTCTCTGGTCCACCAGGACTTCTTTCTGGGCAATCCTTGCTTGCACTCTAAATTTATCCTTACCTATGCTTTCAATAAAAGACACTTTTTTTTTCCAGATTCCTATCGCTCCGGGATCTTGATTACTAGTAAAACTGATAATTTGCATTATCATTAATTCACATTAATGTAAGGTATTACTTGAGTCTGGTGGAGGTGTTTAGAATGCACTGAAGATTCCTAGAGATGTAATACCATAACCTATATTGTCTCAAAGAAAGATACATGGACCATTTTCCTAAGGAGTGTATATGCAAATGTACATACTTGGGCTTCATTCCAAATCTACCAAATCAGAATATCTTGAATGAAGCTTAGAGTCATCAGCTCTCCAGTTGTTTCTTATCATCCCTAGAGTTTGAAAAGCAAGGCTTAACTCATTAGGATAAATATCAAATATCTATTGGTAGGTCTTCAAGTGCGGGGCAGATTGGCACAAAGTAATTACAGAGGTCTTCAAGTGTCTCAGTTATGTCTTTTTAACTGCACCACAGCACCTCCACCTATCGGAGGCCCAATGATCTGCCTACAGAGGGGTGTTACAAGAGCTAAAGAAAGGAAAGACAAAAAGATACACTTTCAAAGTACATGGGGAGCCGGGAGATCAATGCCAGAGTGGACAAAGACAAAGACACTCTGAGTTAGCCACTATGTACTGTGTGCACACAGTAATCAGAGGAAGTATCAGGTAACTCAGAGAGTGGCAGTAATCCTATGATGATGAGGATCATACATCGATGAAGATCTCAGGTTGAGGAGTATCTTAGGTTGAAAGGAATCTTAAATTGATGAGCTAATGAGAAATTTATCCTTTCCCCCAGAGAAAACCTTTCTTTCTCTTTAAAAAATTTTTTAGGGCTGGGGATTTAGCTCAGCGGTTCAGTGGCCTGCCTTGCAAGCCCAAGGACCCAAGTTCAATCGCCGGTACCAAAAAAAAAAAAAAATTTTTTTTAAATTAATAATTAGTTCTCAAAGAACCAGGAAGTCTTCAGCTGATGTAATCTTGTCCTGGAGCATCACAGCATCACAGGACTGTTGAGGCCTCAGCTGTGACATGGAGTTATGTTTCCACATACCATAGATGGCCTACACAGCAAGGATGCTTTAGGCCTCAGATAACACTAACCATAATTTAATTATGAAATGACCTCTCCCAAAAATTGTATAGAATGGCTCTCGACACCCACCAATTTCAACTTGAAGCAAAACTAAGCTAATTTTAAGTAAATAAATATTTATAAAGTATATTCACAAACTCTGAATTTATATAGCTTCTTTGGGGAGAGATACGGATGCAAACAAAGACAGTTGGTTTTGAGTGGTAGAGAGAATCTGCTGACTAGACTTTTACCCTAGGCCCAAAACGAATATGGAAAGAAGTTTGGAAATGACTAATTTAAAATGACACAACCCATTTCAAGTCTCAGCTGAGAGCACTGAGGTAGTGGCTAGAGAACATCATCACCCTGACCTTGAGAAGGGCTACAGCAAGGCTTTTGGCATCTTTGAGATTCCAGTTCTTTTTTTTTTTTTTTCAAATGCTGCTCCTTCATCTTAGTATAAGTGCTACCTCTTCAATTGCTGACCTCTAGTTAGAAAGGACTAAAATGTGTGCAGGCTTGTTTATGTGCAATTGGAAAGGGTTGAAGAAAGTCATGTTAGTGTATCCACTAGATAAATTGGTCAGGCCCTCAAGAACCAGACTCACCAGCCTGTATTATCAGTCTTTCCTATAATCTGTCCTTTCTTACTGTGTCTTAATGAAATTGCTCCGCTTTCTGAACAGCCAGTCTTGCCGCACTCAGTGTTAGTAAGCCAGCAGCTGGGAAATAATGGAAAGCTACTATTGCTATAATCTTTTTTCATAATTTAATCTTTAAAATTATGGTTCATATAGTACAAACACTGAAATGTGAAAAAGAATTATTTAAATCTCTTAAGGAGTGAAAATTAGTATAACGTATTTGTGACCTCAGAATAGGAAAGAATTTCAATAAGGCAAAAGTAAGAGCCCAAATGATAAAGGAGAAGCCTAATAAATTGGACCTCATGAATTAATTAAAACTTTAGCATGGTAAAATACATCATAGACAAAAGTAGAGAAAGTGATGGACAGGGAAAAGATACTTGCAACACATAATGCAAAAAAGATTTAGTAATAAGAATATATAAATACAGCACATAATTCAATAAGAAAAAGAAAAGTAACCCAGTAAAAAATGTGCAATGTCTGCTAACAAGAATACACAGAACACAAATTCAAATGATCGATAAGCATGAAAAAATTCTTTGATCTACTAATATTGAGGAAAAGGAAATAAAATTAATAAAATACCATTTCTCATCTTTCAGATTACAAAAAAATGTCTGAATGGACCAGGTATGATTCTATAGTTATATCCTAAGGAAACTAACAATAGTTTAGGCAAAAAACAACAAAACCAAAAAAACTAAAACTAAAACTAAATTATAGCAGCTAATGTTTACTGATTGCTGACTCTATGCCAGGCACATTTTTAAATGTGTTATGGATATTTGCACAGTTAATACTCAAAACTACACTACAATAGAGGTACAATTACTTCCCACATATAATAGAGAAGAAGTACAGGCTCTGAAAGGAGATTGCTCAAGGCTGTACAGCTAGTTTGCCAAGAAACAAAGGCTTAAACAAAAGTGGCCAATTTCCAGAGTTCACCTTCCTTAAAGCCACACTCAGCTATTAGAAAACTTACAAAGCCTAGAGGTGGGCAAGCAACCAACCCCAACTCATACCACTAAACACCAATGACACGCCACACCGTCAAAAGTTCTGAGCACAAACCACTGTTTATGTGATCATGACAAGCAGCGATACCAAAATGCTGCTTTTGGAGCCTCTTGTCTCTAAGGTTCTGAAAAACAGTTTACTTGCTCCCAGCAAGAGTGGATTCCAAGGAGCACCTGCTTCCTGCCAAGTCACTGGCTTTTTACTTGTGATTTAGTTGGCAAAGCCTAGAAAGAGTAGGAGAGAGAAGATCTGATGTCTACATTTGGAAGTAAGGATTCATACTGGGGAGTTTTTCAATACAGCAAGGATATTCACATTGCCTAGGAGGTGAAAACAATGACAAATGTTCACTGTACTGACACTATCACATGCTAAAGCGGATGCATAGACAAAAACTCTGTAGTGAAGTTGTAATTGGTATGACTGATATGGAGAGCATTTTGCTAATATCTATAATTTAAAATCACCCACCTCACAGTGTATATTTCTAGAGAAACTCCAGCACATATACACAAGAAGATGTATATGATGTTAACTATGGCAGTTTTAAAGATTTCTTGCTATAAGAAGCTCTAACTTTCCATCAGCTAGTCAGTTAGTTATATCATGAAGTGAGATATTATATAGCCATATAAGAGAATGACATAGGTCGGTATCAATACAGTTGTCCTCAATGATGGCAGATAAAAAGTTTCATTTCATTTCAGAAATAATGATAGATACCATTTGAGAGTGAATTCACTAGGGTTTGCCAGAGTGAGCCAATAAGCTATGCATATAATTATACACAGGACAGGAGATTTATTGGGAACTGACTCCCTTAATTATGGTG